GATCCACACTTTTTAAAAGTTGTTTATTATTTCATGCAGTGATGTTGTCCATCCGACTTAAACATTATCATTTTCATATTTGAGAAACTGGCAATACCGAGCAGAAAATTACTTTAATGCAAATTTAGTTTGGCCAACAAGTCAATAAAGCTACGAACTATTTTGTATTGCATATTTTAAAACTGTGTAACCAGACTTAAACAAAATTAATAAAATAACATAGTTTTGCTTGTATGTTTTCGTGTTTATATGTGATAAGTTATGATTTGTAAATATATACTGTAAATTGTACTACACGTGAAAATGCTGACGAATTACGTATTTTGTTTTCAGGACATGAACCYTTTCGCTTGCCGTAGCGGGGCGGGGCACGCGTCAAAACTGCTATGAATTAGCATCACTAGGGACAACAAAACGGCTTAGTTTGATCATGTAAAAACCTTATTAGCGCATTTTTACTTTTACGTACACTCTCCCGACTTTAGACCACTTTAACTTTTATGTATTTTTATTATATCTCGCTTTCTCGCTTCCTGGTTTGTTCGCTATYCACAAACGCTAATGGTTAGCTTTAATAGACCTTAGCATTCGCTACAAAGAAAGTTTCTGTTGCTTAAAATTGTCAGAATGGCCATGTCGGAGACAAATAACGGTTGGTCTGGTGGAGAAGAAGAAGAAGAAGAAGGGGAGGCAGACGTCATTGCGAAAACGTGTGTTTTGAGTGGCTTCAGTGAGAGCAGCGAGACCAGAAGCCTCATCTCCAGCCTGCCAGAAATCCATGAGGACCAGAGGACCACTGAGATTACGATTCAGAGATTCTTAGGTTTTGTATTTRAATTTAGACATTTTAAATTCATGTTGAACTTGTGGCTTTAATGTGCTCGTGATTCGTGGCAGTTTACAGTTTTTTTTATAATCCTCTCAGTGATTATGAACAATTATCAAGAGCAGCCTCATCTGCTGGATCCACATCTAGGTACACGGCAAGTTCAAATCATTGTCCAGTCATTTAGAGGCACAGATGTATAAATGTTCTTCTTTCCCGCACAATTTCTGTTAGAATGGATGATGAACATGTTATTGGACTTCATAAAGAATGAAAACTCTCCACCTTCATTGATCCACTTGAGCTTCCAGTTTCTCAGTATCATGTGTAAYGTGAGTTCAAAACAACATTAATCTCTTTACCAGCTGATTGTTTCTCACTTGAGACTGATTCAAGCAGCAAAAAGTTGACAGCTTGATATTTTTTTCTATTTCTGGTTAGGTCAGAGGCTTTAAAGTCTTCATGCAGCTTTTTCCTCACGAGGTGTCTGACGTCCAGCCAGTCCTGGAGCTGATGTCCAAACAGGATCCCAACGATTTGGAGGTAATTTTGTAAGACTTTTTGTTTAGAGGAATATTGGTTCAAACGTTTGCTGCAGTTAGAGTTTTACATTTACAGTCTGAGCTTCAGTTTTTTAGGGAATGAAAACCTTTCTACTGTTCATATAAAAAAAATCACAGTCACAGAACCCATTGACACTTGTATACATTTGTCTCCCAATAGTTCAGAGTTTAGCATTCAACAATGTTAAATTGAAAGTGTTTCAACCTCAGGGCTCTGTAGCACAGAGCCGACAGTGTCCCCACAAACCCAGGAGCCAGGTAGAGAGAAGTCYCACACAAGACAGGCCCTGGAGCAGTTCTGTTATCCTAACTGGACTTTCTTGATTCCAGTCAACCACCAGGTGAAAAGGAAGAACCCAAACCAGTGGTCATTCCATATGTGGCGGGAGTTTTAGAGAAACTGAGATGCTTATTCTCTAAACATGATGCCCCAGTGGCTTTCAAACCCCAAAAACACATTACGACAAAGATTGGTTCACAAACAGAGTAATGTGGTGTATGCTGTTAGGTGCCAAGACTGTGATCAMTTATACATRMGGGAAACAAAACAGCCACTGTTCAAAAGAATGATCCAGCACAGACGAGCTACATCATCAGGTCAGGACTCTGCAGTTTACACTCATCTACAGGCCAGCGGTCACTCATTCAGGGATGAAGATGTTCTCATCCTTGATAGAGAGGAACGTTGGTTTGAGAGAGGAGTAAAGGAAGCCATTTTTGTGAAGAAAAACCGTCCGTCATTAAACAGAGGTGGAGGCCTTCGTGTCCAGTTGTCCTCCTCCTACAACGCTGTTATTGCAKGTATGACTCAGCCCKCTGTGAGCAAAAGGTGTGAATCAGGGCCCCAGCGACAGTCAGATGATGGGGCACATGACCCTCTATGAACAATAGAGCTAATGAAGCCTATTGTTCGGCAATGGCCCTCTTTTGCATGTGACTAACCTGTTTGTCCACCACGTGGAGGCAGTGCTTATAAGGCTGAGTTCACCTGCAACTCATCAGACTGAAAAAGTCTCTTGGAGGAGAGACAGAATGTTTCATTAAAGTGCCTGTGACATCAGTTTTTTGCACTTTTGGAAAGATACAGCATGTTTCAAAAGCAATTTCACACCACGGAGATGAACAGTTGTTAAGATATTTGCATGTGAAATAACAGTAAATGATGTCAAAGGGGAATGCCTCCATGTAAACAGAGCATTGCTACAACGGCTAACAACACAGACAGCAGGGAATTTTCTCATGTTTCTTTAGATAATTTTAGTCCCTTTAAGAGAGAGATGAAAAAAGTCAGAGTTTAAATAATATTGTTTTAGTAAACAAAGACCAGAGAGTTTTCTTTCTTAAAGAGTTCCCCTTTGACGTCATTTCCTGTTTCACTTTAGCAGAGTCAAATTCAAAGAAAAATATGCCAGTTATGTGACATAATGGGTTAAATCATGTGTTTTATGCTATTTTTTCTAAATATGAAGATATTTTCTTTGACTTTTTGTATTTGAAGGATAGGTGTGTCACAGTTACTTTAGGGAAGAACCCATCCTACTTAGTTTTTTCTTTTTGATGTTTCAACCTCACTTCATTCCAGACTTGGCAAACACGCTACATGTTGTTGTTGTGGATGTCCATGATCTGCCTCATACCCTTTGACCTTTCCCGTTTGGACGGCCATCTCGAGTCAGATGGTGGTAAGACCAGAGAACCCACCATGTATCGTATTCTCAATATTGCAAAGGTAAGGGAGACATGAATCATGGAACTTGAAGTATCAGAGAACTTTGTATGACGATTTTGAACGTCATAATTGGCCTTTTTGTGGACAAAAATAAACAAATTAAAAAAAATAATTAATTTGCCATAGATATAGATAAATAAAACCACATCTTCTGCAAGATTTTTATAATAATGTAAACTCAAATACTTGTTAAACTTATATATATAACATTTTTACTATTTGACGTTTGACTAGATCGGTTTGTTTTCATTTAGTTTCAGGATTTTCCTCTGCTGTGGCTTATTGGCATTTTAGTGGAAAAACAGCACCACCAGCTGTTTGTAATGCCGAGTTTCTTTTAGTTAACCTGTAAAAGGATTTTTCTTAGTTTCAATATTGTTTAAATAAAATAAAAATAACAAACAAACTGATTTACTAACTGAACAAATTTATAAAAGAACACATTTAATGGTGATATGAATTTGATGTAATGTTTATTAAATATTGTGTTTGTTAACCTTGTTTTTGTATAGCATAAATAATTATTTATATTCTGTTATCAGACTTATCTACTTGTCAGTGACAGTCCCAGGAATGCTGCATCTGTACTCATATCAAAGTAAGTGTAACATAAGTTGGTCGTGAACTGGTTTCTCATTTTAAGCTATATTGTGGGTTTAAACAATGTCAGTTTCAAAATCATTAAATTGTTTTTGCTAAATCACTCCTGTGGTTTAAACTACTTTTAATGAGAAGTCAAACAGTGCAGGACTTTTTCCCTGTTGTGTTCTTTTACTATATATTATGTGTTTATGCATCACAATTTAAATAAATAAGCAAATCTAAAAATATTATTTATGTTATTATGGCCATAAATACCTGCAGTAGTAAATGGAATTACAGTGGTTTGCAAAAGTATTCATACCCCTTGAACTTTTCCATATTTTGTCACATTACAACTACAAACATAAATATATTTCAC